AATTTCGAATTTCTTATAACACATGCGGAACTGCGAAAACCGCAAAAATTCAAATCTTCGTATAAGGATCGGCGCGTTCAATTAGGAAATGCCTAAACCGGAACTGAAATTAATGGCGAATGTATAATTGCATAGTTACGAGTGATGTATGAGCTGTTTCGACTTGGCGTGTACTGTACCTTCATATACGAGTTTCAGTTTCAACATTCGTCGTATTTTGCAATCTGTGTGGCTGGTACAAGCATAACAAGCAAAGCGAGTTATTTGAAAAGGGTGACTGCAAAACGTGTACATAACGAAATACACGTTTCTCCATCTGAGACATCTCGATTTTTGCTGTTCTAACTCTCGTTCTTGTCGTCGTCGTCGTCGTCGTCGTCGTCGTTCCGTTCCATCTTCACTGCCAACTTCTCTTCTTCCTTACCGCTATCTTTTTCGTTGTTCTCATCGTCATTGTCGTCGTTTTCATCATCCTTATTGTTGTCGTCGACATCTAACGCCCGATTCGATTTGTTCGTTAACGAATTGTCGTGCCTTTCATTGCTGCGTCTTTCTAATGCACTACTCGATATTGTATCAATTCTGCAATTATTTACGTCAGCCAATAAGATTTCTTCGTTTCGAAATAATGCAGCTTTATGAAGGGAAGGCACTGCGGCTTTGTTTTCCATATTATCGCCTTGTTTAGAAATGATTGCTCGCATCTCATGCTCGCAAAGATCTCGCAAATTATCTCGTGTCACAGGATTGTTAGTCACTACATTGAAGCAATCTAATTTCTCAGTTTCGCAGAATTTACAAGTTTCGATGTGGAAATTTTGGCTCTCGACGCTACATAAGCTTCGTTCGTTTCTCGATGTCGCTGCGACGTCAACAACACTCGTTGTCGACGTCGAAATGATGGGTCTCGAGTAAGGATTACTTTTTAGAATAGAACGCGGATACACCTCAGCACTCGGCAATAACATCGGTTGCTCCGATTCTTCGGATTCTTTCTTAAGCACAGATCTGATCAATTTCATACCTCGGAGTTCCGGGCTTTTGGCACGCGACAGATTTTGCGTATAACCGGCGGATGACTTTAGAATACTTTTTGGTATATCATGCTGAGACGTTATTGCAAGCGGTGGCGAATGCAACGATCTTTGACATTCTTTTAAGTGCCCTGAAAACGACCAACATTATTTGTTCATTATTAATATAATTTAATAATTGATATAATCCAGTACAAATAACACACAAATAATAAAATAGTTTTCAACTGTAAAAAACTGTACGTACCCTCAACCAAGGTTGGAATCTGGTGATTCAGATTCAACGGTGATATCCGGGACGCCACTTCAACCTCCTCAGATGTTACAGGTTGCGTTTTGTAACGCGTAGATTGTCGTCTTCTTTGAATAAACTTTTCCTGGTACGCGGTGTTTCTTCCAGCTACGGTTTCCGTAGTCGTAATCTTTTGATTAAAGAGCCGCACGCGTTCAGCCAAGCTTAGCTTGGATGGTTCAGGCTCGTTATCAGTCGTTCCTGCATTGCTCAACGTTGTGGCGTTGCGCTGATTTTGTAAGACCGCCTCGCGCACTTCTTCCAAAGTTACCGGTTGGGTATTGAATCTTTCGCCGCTCTGTATCTTACGTTCGCGATAACGTTGAATGCCGCGCGATAATTTCTGCGAAGGTACACGCTGAGAACTGTTTTCCGCAGCCGCGGCGTTTGCCTTCTCTTGAAGAACTTTAAAATGTTGTGTCATTTTCGATACACTGTTGCTACGACAAATAGCAGCATAATCCTCGTCAACATCCTGCACACCCTCATGTCCCTCCTGCCTTTCTTTTATCGTTTCTTTCTTGTCAATCGTCTGTGTTTGAATTTGTATCGCATCACAATTATTCACATCATTATCGATCCTCATGAAATGTTTATGCGAATCTATTTTATTCTTCTCTTCCATACTGTTCGCAACTTGCTTGATTTTGCTAGATCCCTCGCACGATAGTTTATTTTCTTTAATTGCACCGGAGCTGTAAGAAACGTACACACACATATATATATATATATATATATATAAAACTTGTAAGCCCGATAAACTCGTTTTATTTTATTTTTTTAACAGATTAAAACAGTCCCGCGAGTTGTTTATTCATAAATATGTTGCACACGACTATCTCCAATTTCTGGTAGCTTTGAGAATCGCTAGATGGTCTATAATTAAACTTGGCACGGGATCAAAGCCCCACTAAAGTCGTGTATCACTGTAGCAATTGCAAAAGATTAATTCTGCGCCGCACACGGAATAAATTTTTTTCTCATATAGGAAAGTCGTAATTTGGCAACATTCTTTTTCCGATGTAAAGAAAATTAAGATTTCGTTTACGCGCGAATAATTGAACATAGCTAGATGAGTACAGAGTAGCTAAAGTACATTTTTTAATTTTTGAATAAATGAATCAACTATCTATCTAGAACGTGTAATAAAGATTTAAGGAAAAAATGATATAATTATACTCTTTTAAAAAAGAAAGTTAAAAAATATAGACTCTTTCTGTTTAATCAAAACCAGACGTTTTACTATGCTTTGGCAAAAAGCCAAAGAGCTTCTTTATCCAGTATTCAGTTATAAACAGTATTATTTTGTACAGATAAAATTTATAAATTAATTATACACTCTTACTCTATTTAAGATGATTCAACATTTTCCCAGCATCACAATCTTGAGGGTTTTTCTTTAAAAAAAAATTAAAAATAAATAAAAAAAAGATGGAGATAGTACTTTTATATAATTTACATGTTCGCAGAGAGAACGGAAAAAATAAGTTGAATGTAAAGCATTCTTGTTAATAGGGATACATTTAATACTATTAATATCTGATGATATATTTAATATTGTAACGGCTATTACTCTTTCATGCTGATTTAAACTTACCTATTTACTGCGTAGAAAGTTTCATTGGACCGATCTGCCGTAAAACAGCGACGTGTGGTAGTCGGAGTATACAACATGTCGATCGGCGAACTGGACTCGAGAGATCTTCGTTTGGCTAATACACGAATTGACTCGACACAGTCATCGCCATTAGCAGATCGCGCATGACTTACAGATTGCGCTCTCTTTCGCAAAAATGAGTCCGCCGTTAAATCACACGTATCGTCGTAGTAACGGCTGCCGCTCGGCTGTTTCAATATTGGTCGTACATTTTCGATCTCGCTCGCTCGATTCTTCAATACAGACAATCTTCTTGGAGAAGTCAACTCTGTCTCGTAACTGCCTTCCTCGTACGAATTTTTCCGCGAGGACTTTAAAATCGTCTTCTTTGGTTTATCATGCTCGTGTTCGTCTGACTCGGTACTTGATTTCTTTTTCAATATAGGCCGAGGCTCGAGAGAGGAAATGTCGTTCCCGGTGAGTTCCTCCTTGCCGTATTTTTTCTTTAATATAGGTTTTACTTCAGATCCCTCGAGATTTTCAGACACAAGGCTGGCATTCGTGCTCGCAATCGTATTTCCACTCGCCACATTTGTGCTCGCGACGTCCGATGCAATTGTTACGTGATGATTGACGCTATTGACGCGCACGCTGTTCGCGAGTTTGCGTTTCAAAATGCTCTGTGGTTCCGGAGATCCCAATGACAATCGATGAATTTCTCTGTCGTCTTCTCTAGACGATTTACGTTTCAATATGGAAGCAGGTTGTTGATCAGGGCTTTGATCCCTCTTGACAATCTCATCCAGTGAGGATCGCCTTTGATTTTTCAATATTGGCCGAAATTCCGAGTAAATGTTGTCAGCGAAGGAAACATCGGGAGAACAGCTACGACGACGTAATATCTCGCTTTCATCTAAGCTACTTCGTTTTTTCAAAATACCGTGCCTCTTGTGGGAAACAGGTTCCGTGACGGATGGCGAAAAGGTTACTGGTGATGGTGCATGAGAACCGCTAGACGATGCTTGACGGTCGCCTCCTTCGCCTCCGTCGACAGTTTTATGTTTGAGAATTGAAACTGGCGTGTGCCTAGGTGTGATACACTTTTTTGGCGACATTGACACTTTCTCGGCGACGCACGTTCTCAATTGCGCGTTCTCAATTGAATTATTACCACAGCTCGTGGTAGCAGACGCGAGTCTTTCCACGCGTTCCATAGTAGCTCGTGTTAACGCCGTTAACTCGTCCACTCTGCGTGAAACCTCCGAATTGCCTATACTACCACTAAAGAGCAAAAATTATTTCTAACATCATGTATGTTTTCTTTCTGTCATTATTCTTTTGTTGATAAAGTAATACTAATAAATAAAATAAAAAATAGAAAGAGATGAGACACACACACACACACACACACACACACACACACA